TGAGAAGTGTTAATGCATCCACCATATAGTCCTGTACTTGCACCCTTAGATTTTCACCTGTTTCGGTCTCTTCAGAACTTTTTGGGTAGTGTTAAGAGAAGACTGTTAAAACTACTTGTCACATTTACTTGATAAAAAATTTCTGCAGCAACGGGATTATGTCACTACCCATTAGATGGCAATAAGTTATCGAAGAAAAGGGCACATACACATAATTAAATGTAATAAAACTTTATAAACAGAATATATCTGCTGTAATATGTGGAGACTTTAATATCAATTTCCTAGAAACTTCCTTACCAATATTAAATTTAGATCCTTGTTTAAACCATATGGTCTTTTTAATTTATTCTTAGAGCCAACGCGTATTGCTCAATCTAGTGCAACATGTATAGATAACATTTTTACAAATGTTTAGCCGTTGCATAAGTTATTCAAAAATTAAGTTCTGATCCTAATTTTTTCTATGGAACATTGTTCAAACTTATTTGCAATGAATTTAATAATACTTTTACTTCTAAAACATTCTCCTTGAACAGTCGGAAGGCATTCAATGAATGGGCGACACTAGGAGTCCATAAGAGCAGACAAAGGTTATATGATATTTACCATGGAAGGTCATATAATCCTAGCGTCTAATTTAGGGAATATGTAAAAAAATATTCAAAAATATTTAAAAGAGTGTGTTCCACAGCCAAGTATTTGTATTTGAGCAACAAAATTAAGATGGCTTCTAGTAAAATTAAAATGACATGAAGTATAATTAATAGCGATAGCGTAATAGCATACCAGTTAAGTTTTAACAACAAATAAACTGACTCAGGCCAGGATGTTGTAATGGTTTTTGAGAAATATTTTTCTGATATTCCCATCTTAGCCACTAAGTCAATAAATTCTTCTCCTGTCGTTGCCGAATCATTACTTAAACAAAATGTAAATGCGTCTACAAGGAATTTTACATTTCATAAAGAATCATCAAAAGATATTTTAAAATATTTGAAAACTATTGATATTAAGAAAACTACAAATTTGTGAGGGATTTCCGTTAAAGTTATTGCGTCTATAATACATAAAATCGCACCTCATCTAGCTATTATTTTTAATACTAGTATCGAATCTGGTGCGTTTCCTGATTTAATGTCGCATCGTAAAGTAATACCTTTATTGAAATCTGGTAGTACATTAGACCCCGCTAATTTTAGACCTATTTCTGTACTACCAACACTTAGTAAGATTTTTTTAAAATTATTCTTGATCAAATGTTAAATTTCTTTAATATAAATGATTTACTTCATATAAATGAATTTGGTTTCACAGAGGGTCGCTCGACAACTGACGCCGGTGTTGAGCTGATTAAATATATCTTTAATGTGTGGGAGAATTCACGAAATGCTTTGGGTATATTCTGTGACCTATCATTGTGTTCACCATGAAACACTAATCAGGAAACTTCAACACTACGGTGTAAGAAGTGATGCTCTTGATTATTTCATATTTAAGTAACAAAGCGAAAAAAAGTTGTTATTAACAGTTTGAGCTCCTCCGGGTCGATGGTACAAATGGGCGTGCCTCAAGGCGCAATTTTTGGCCCCTATCTGTTTCTTGTATATATTAATGACTTACTATGGAATAGTAACCATGATATAGTATTATTTCCTGGCGATACTTCTATAATTTTCAAATTAAGACGACAATTACTAAAATATGACGACGTAAATAATGCTGTATCTAAATTAGTAAATTGGTTCAATGTTAATAATTTGCATTTAAATAGCACTAAAACGAAATGTATGAAATTCATGACTCCAAATGTCAAACAATTTAATACCAATGTTATTTTAAATGGGGAGAAACTGAGTCTTGTCGATACCATAATTTTTTTTGGAATCACACTAGACGTGTAGCTTCAATGGACCCCTCATATATCAAAACTAGCAAGCAGACTTAGTTCTGCAGCATATGCTGTGAAAAAGATTAGAAATCTTACCAGTGTTGAAACAGATAGACTAGTTTACTTTAGCTATTTCCATAGAATAATGTCGTATGGTATTTTGCTATGGGGACACGTAGCTGACACTGAAATTATATTTGTTTTACAGAAGAGGGCCATAAGAGCAATTTATTATTTAAAACCTAAAGAGCCGCTGCAACAAAAATTTAAAGAAATTAATATATTAACTTTGACCTCTCAATACATTTATGAATATGTAATGTACGTACACAAAAATAAATGTAGTTTTACAAAAATAAGTAATATTCATTCTGTAAATACTATGAACAGACACAAGCTAGTAGTATCAGTTACTCGACTCCACCGAGTCGGTAATTCATTCTTGGGGCGATGTATACGCTTTAACAACCAAATTCCAAATTTAGCAAATATACAAAATTTGACCTGCTCAAAGTTCAAAAACTTTATTAAACTAAGTTTGTATAAATAGGGTTATAATAATATTAAGGAATTTATGGATGATAATAACCCCTAGGAATGAGGTGATCGCCGTCAAGCTATTTCTAATTTGTTGGGTACAACCCAACAAATGAAATTGTGTAACATACACAATTGTAAGCTGTTATTTAAAAAAAAAAAGCTCCCACTGGGTTAGGACAGTGGTTTTTTTTCGAACCAGTGGTAATTAAACAAAAGAGTGACTTTCAATAAGTATTATTTATAATCTATATTGAATTAAAAAGTTTCTGTTTCAGTTTGAAAGAAAAATGTCTGAAGTCTATCTATAAAATAAATAAAATTGAAGTGTTTGTTTGTAATGTTAAGATAACAGCTTTTTACTAAATGCATATGAAAGTATATACTGTACTTATAACAAAAACACAATAAAAATCTGTTTGTCTGTCTGCCAGTCTGTTGGTCTGTCTGTCTGTTTGTTCCGGCTAATCTCCAAAATGGCTGGACCGATTTTGAGGGGCTTTCACTGGCAGATAGCTGATAGTATAAAGAGTAACTTAGGTTACTTTTATTTTAGAAAAATAATTAGGGTTTAGCGCAAAAAAAATTAAAACCCTAAATTACACGCAGGTGATGTCGCGGGTAACAGCTAGTTTAAAACTTTTTCCCCCACCTAATATAATCGATTTTTATTTCTATTATATAATGCCTTTTGAGAATTTCATTAGTAGAGACGACTGACGTGCATTTTCGTGGTAATTTGGAAGAGAAGGCTATATTGACTTCTAAAAAGCTTGGCGTGCTCAGCAGAGCAGGACAATATTTCATATCGATACACCGCTTGCAACTTTACAAGGCGTAGGTTTGGCTTTACATATAATACTGTTCTCATCTCTGGGCTGGGACTCCCCAGTGCCAGCTCCTTCTACTTGACCGTATCCAGCGTAGAGCGGCTCGAATCATCAACGATCCTGTTCTCTCCAGTTGGCCCGATTCATTGGCACTGCGAAGACATGTTACACCCGTTTTTATTTTCTACCACATTTACCAAGGTGAGTGCTCTGTGGAATCATCATCATCATCATCATTACACTCCTTCACAAGTTCACTGCAGAGCATAGGCCTCCACCCAAGGAATGCCACAAAGCACGGTCCTGAGCCACAACTGCATTCCATCGACTTCCTGCATGTCCCCATCGGTTGTCGTTTCTTCCGAGCTATACGCGATAAAATCCGTAAAACTAGTTTTATTTAAATTATGCAAAGGCAAATCAGCAATCCTCGTCGTTTATCAAAATTATAATACTTTCATACGTATTGATTAGTTTTTCAACATGTAGATGTCACCACAAAGCACGATACTTAAAATATAATTTATAGAATTTAAAATTGAAATTAAAATAATTATATCATCATTGCTTTTATCAAATACAATGAAATTTTAGTACGAGCTGAGACAGAATTAATAAACGGAGAATGTTTTTGACAGCCTTGATCAAGTTGTATGATATGTGAAAAAAATGAAATAAAATAATATTAGACGAAAGCTCAACGAATTTCGAAATTCTTTTTTGAATTTTCATTTTAGCGAGTCTGTAGCGCAAATGGTATTTGTCTGCAACACCGCGACTCGTGAGTTCTATTCTGGCAGGGTATAAGTAATATTATAGTCTACAAACAATTTTTCTAAAAAGATATAAACTTAGAGTTGAGTTCACTTGCCTACATAAGTGTACTCGTATTTAGCATTGAAAAACTTGAAAGGTTTTTCTATCATCTTTGCATAAAATACGCACGTATTCTACGCGAAAACCATCCCCTAGAAATGTTTTAATAAAAATCTTTAAATTTTTAAAGGTTCAAGCGAATGCATAGACAGACGTAGGTGCGGTGAAGATAAGTAATTTAGTTCTGTACTGCCTAATCGTTCGAATTTTTGATACAAATTTATTAATTTATATGTAAAACTAGCGACCCACCCTGCATTCGCTTGGGGAAGATCTATTAATGTCGAGTTATTTATGATCATTAAAGACAATTTCTTTTATAAATTTTTCTATTCACAAAAAATAATACAAGTTTTTCGGATAAAATAATAACCAACATCACACCTGGCATTACACTCTACCGATTCCTGAAGTTTTTCTGCAATTTGTTCAGCCATTCTGAAGAATAGCCCGAACAGACAGACAATTTTTTTAATGGTTATTCATGTGTTAATGAAATGAAAATAACCCATTAGCTTAATAAAAGGAAGTTATTTCGACATTACAGTCGAACACTTCAATTTTATTTATTTGTATAGATAAGTATAATTTTGCTATGTGATTGATTCAAGTAGCGTGTTATCAAACAGGAATACAAAATACTGGTATAATACATACAAATTTATTTGCGAAAGAATTAAAAATTACATTACAAGTAATGAAATATATTTCTAATATGTTACCTCATTTATCATACTCGGCGGCGTAAGTATTGCTTATCTAACTAATTTATTAAATATAAATAGTTGAAGAAAGATATCGTCAATAATTCAGTTCCAGCCATCATTGTAAGCAGTACAATTAATTTAACAAATATTTTGTAAACAATGTCAGCGACAACCTTGTTCCTGCTTTGCGCACAAGCCTTTCTTTTTAAGGTAATATCCACAGGATTCATATTAACTAAGCATATAGTATTTTAGGATGTTAAGTATATTAAAATGATAAATTTTATTTTACAGACGATCTCTGCGTATTGCCCTAATTCAGGTTGGTCAGCAGGCCTGCCCATCGCTGATGGTTTGGGATGGTCCCCAGGTGGTCCAGGTTTTGCTTACGAAAATTCATTAGCTTCTGCTCCATGTGCTGCTACTGTCCCATTCCTAGGTGCATGTGACCTTTTTGCGTCCCCATCCTCATATGGCGGTGGTTTTGTTGTCTCAAGCGCGTCGCCAGTTTCACCGTATGGAGTTTCCGTTATATCTGAAAACGCAATCGAAGGTATCCTGGCAGCCAGAGGTGAACTGCCATTTTTGGGCACAGTTGGATTAGAAGGTGTTTTGCCTAATACTGGGGTTGGTGCTGTCTCGTATGGTTGCGGCAATGGAAATGTAGGTATTGTGAGCGAGAACACTTCACCTAATGCTGCTGGATTAGGTTGGCCAACAAATGGATTGAACTACGGTCCAGTAGCGTCCAATGGTTTTGGATACGGTACTGGATGGGCTGGACCTGCTAATGGATGTGGTTGTGGTTCTATTTAGTAAAATATGTTTATAGTGTTATTGTTTATAATAAAGTTGTTGAAGTTTTTATTTTACTTTTATTAAGACATAATGTGTATGGCATAAAATAGGGTCATTTTTATAGTGCTTAATATTTACATTTCGTAAAGTATAGAAATTACTCCGTTAATTAAATAGGGTGACGAACACGCTAACAACCTATCTGACGTACATGTTATATTAAAGGCTATCAACTGATTTAATAAATCTAATATAAGTTATTTAACGTAATACTTTAAATAACTTATATTATATACTAGCTGCTCCCCGCGACTTCCCCCGCGTGGAGTTATTTTTCGCGGAACCCTCAAATGAAAGTAGCCCAAGTTACTCCTTATAACATCAGCTATCTGCCAGTGTGTATAAATATTGACATTAATATTTATACGATACTAACGTCACTCAATTGTTTTGCCTTCCCGGAACCCCTCCATTAACACTTAAACTTTATGGTATGGTATTAAAGTTCAAATTGAATTTGAAGTATTATTACGAATCTATTGTATGGGAATATAGAAAAATGTTGTTTTTAGACTTTTTCAGGCAATTTTTTAAATTTTTCTCTCCGTAATAACCATCTTCGTACTTCAAGAAATATTATAAAAAAAGAATTAGCGAAATCGGTTCAGCTGCTCTCGAGATTTGCGCTTAGCAACACATACAGCGATTTATTTTTATATTATAAGATAATAATTTACCTTAAATAGAAAATTTATTTGCTATTAGAATCGCAAGTCAAACCTTAATGTAACAATTCAAAATAGCAAGTTCGACCAAACGAACATTTCACAGGTAAAGACCTAATAGATTATTTTTGTTTCATGTAAACAAAGGGCAACTTAAGCCCCCAGCTTACCGGAGAGGACTAGCCATAGATTTTTTCCCCGATAAAAAACTGTCTGTCACAACGAAAGTCACTAAAAATTAACGTGGCAGATATCTTTTTGCAATAAAAATCTGACTAACATTTTTGTAGGATTTTGATTCAGCTCAGAGATCAGCTCGACCGGGGTAGGACCACGCTCTCTCAGCGTAAAATAGCAGCTTAATACTGCTTTGACTGCTTTCGTATGGTGAGTGTAGAGAACCGGAGACCCTTTTTACTGGAAACAAGGCATTCCATCTTAATTCTTAGACAAGCTGGGCTAAATATCTAAAAACTTATAATGTACAAAACTCTAGACAAGTTAAATAACGAGGTGCTTGCAATACAATAAAAGTAAATTTTACTAGGTGCAGTTCTTACATTACCGTGTTCCCGTCTGAGGGATATAGAGAATCTTTTAAATTCTTTCTTAGTCGTCAGCGGTGACACACCTAAAAAAACTAATTTACTAAACAAACCTAACTAAGACGATCACGCCATAAATATTACAAACGGCCATAAATATAACTAAACCTTAAGAAAGACCCTTAGGAAAGATCTTTATTTGTTAACCTGTTCACTACATCATTTAATATATATATATATATATATATATATATATATATATATATATATTAACAGACGGCTATGTTCATAAATTCATAGGGCGGGGGGAGGGGGGGGGGGCGTTGTAATATCCATATGTTGCAATTCAGTAACTTTCATTGCTATAAGGATGACAATGTCAATATTTCTCGGGAAAACATCGTCGAGTACCGGAACAAATTTGTGTCTGATGTTGAGTGTGTCTCGAATTGGGGGCGACTAAATCTAGTCCAGTTTAATAGTTGTATATCGCTAGCAACGCAAAGTCGGGAATTTGCATTTGGAAAAATCCAAAATTAGGGGCTTTTTAGGTGCTAATTAGGTGCCAAATTTAAAAATTAGGTGCTCTAAAATTTTCACCGCAACGAACTGTTCAAATTTGCGTTGCTAGCAAAACGTCTCGCTAGCAACGCAATGAATTTATTAGTTATACGATAAATATTAAAAGCAAGGAATTAAGTGCTAATTAGGTGCTGCAAACATACGCAATAACAAGGCGCCCCTAATAAAAATAAAGTCGTTATTCAGAACATAGCAGATGCAAAATTTAGATTTCCTGAAAATCAAAATAGAATCAAAATTGCTTTCAGAAAAAGTCCAAATTAGGGGCTTTTTAGGTGCTAATTAAGTACCAAGTATAAAAATTAGTTGCTCCAATATTTTCACCGCAACGAATCATTGAAATTTGCGTTGCTGGCAAAACGTATCGCTAGCAACGCTGATGACGTTACTAGATATACGATAAATATTAATAGGAAGGAATTATGTGCTAATTAAGTGCTGCAGGTCGATTATCGAAACCCGATACAGATTACGATATTATTCTAGGAATTATGGGGTCCACGACCAACATTACCTTACTATAATGTATGAACAGTATTTTTTGTTCTTTATCAGTTCCTAAAAATTAAGTGCTAATTAGGTGCTGAAAGATTATTAAGGTCGCATGTAGATGACGGTAATATTCAGGAAATTATCGGATTTAAAACCACCATTACCTTACTGTAAGGTATGAACGGCATTTTTTGTTTTTCAGATTTAATATGATTATATTTGAAAATGGTTGAAAATTGGTTGAAAATTATATTAAATTATATTGTAGATTTATAATATTATTTAATATAATTTTCAACCAAATAAATGTTACAATTCTTATTTTTAGACATGTGAAGCCTAAGCTTTTGTGTACTCGAAAGGATATTTTCTTTCCAGTAAATTGCATTGTAATAAATAGCGCCATCTACAACGTTCTAGTTCTAGTCATTTTATCAAATCAAAATCGATGGACTCTCAAGGTGGTAAGTAGGATAGACGCTAGATGGCACAAACACAAAGACCTAATTTTTTACGTGGTAGAGCCATGCTGCAGCTATATTATGGTTGTAGCCCGAATGACGAATGTAAAACGAAGGACCACGCTCTCACAGAATACCAGCGTAAAATAGCAGCTTAACGCTGCTGTGTTTCGTATGGTGAGTGTAGAGAACCGGAGACCCTTTTTACTGGAAACGAGGCATTCCATCTTAGTCCTTACGTGTGACGACGCATCTGCATTTTGATTCTTAATCGAAGATAGGTGTAGATGTCTATGGGCCACAGCAATCACTTACCATCAGGTGGACTGTGTGCTCGTTTGTCACCCTTATTCTATAAAAAAAAATTGCCTTGCTCAATAATTTTCGGAATAACGACTTTATTTTTATTAGGGGCGCCTTGTTATTGCGTATACTTGCAGCACCTAATTAGCACTTAATTCCTTGCTATTAATATTTACCGTATATCTAATAACTTAATTGCGTTGCTAGCGAGACATTTTTTTAGCAACACAAATTTCAACAGGTCCTTGCGGTGCAAAATTTTAGAACACCTAATTTTTAAACTTGGTACTTAATTAGCACCTAAAAAGCCCCTAATTTGGACTTTTTCTGAAAGCAATTTTGATTCTATTTTGATTTTCAGGAAATCTGAATTTTGCATCTGCTATGTTCTGAATAACGACTTTATTTTTATTAGGGGCGCCTTGTTACTGCGTATACTTGCAGCACCTAATTAGCACCTAATTCCTTGCTATTAATATTTATCGTATATTTAATAACTTCATTGCGTTGGTAGCGAGACGTTTTGCTAGCAACGCAAATTTCAACAGTTCGTTGCGGTGAAAATTTTAGAGCACCTAATTTTTAAATTTGGCACCTAATTAGCACCTAAAAAGCCCCTAATTTTGGATTTTTCCAAATGCAAATTCCCGACTTTGCGTTGCTAGCGATACACAACTCAGTTTAATCCCCAGAAAACGAAGCAAGTTTGCGCATTTACCGCTAAAATTAACCCCTTTGTCGTATCGCCTCAGTTCCAGGGCACTCTCCTTGCCGAGGATTCTGATATTGGCTGTGCCTCAGCCAATATCAGAATCCTCGGGGTTGACATACAAAATGACGTGTAGTTTCGTGGTAATTTGGAAGAGAAGGCTAAATTGACCTCTAAAAAGCTTGGCGCGCTCAACAGAGCGAGACAGTATTTCATGTTAGCACACCACTTGCAACTTTACGAGGCGTAGGTTCGGCCTTATATAGGATGTTGTTTTCATCTCTAGGCCGGGGCTTGAACTCATCAAGCGCAGAGTGACTCGAATCGTCGAGGATCGAGTTCTCTCCAATCGGCCTAATTCACTGGCGCTGCGAAGAGATAATGCATCCCATTTTATTTTATGTCGCATATACCAGTGAGAGTGCCCTAAGCAATAGTTTGCATTAATTCCAGCCGCCAAATTTCACCAACGCACATCGTGATAAAATATTACCATCCACATCATCCCGTTGCTTAGTTAACGAGCGATTTAATAGGAGGTTTATTCGTCGCACGATTCCTTTGTGGAATTGTTTACAACCGGTGAATTTTCCGGACCGATACGATTTAGAGACCTTCAATTAACGGGCTTCTACTTTCCTTTAAAGGCTGTCTATACACCTGCAATTCCCCTGGTGTTGCAGTTGTTCATTGGCTGCGGTCGATACTTACCATTAGGCAAGCCGCATGCTCATTAGCCCACTCTTCTTTAAAAAAATGATATAGATAGTTCTTTAATGTAGTAGCTTAAACTTTACACCCATAATATATTTTCTGTTTCTCTTTAACCTGAAGGTAGACTGGTAGAAAATTCCTTGTTCCATTAAGTCCGGCTTTTCGTAATTGTTGTGAAAATAAAGTTTAAATAAATAAGTAATAAATACGATATGGCCATTACTGTACCAAGCGTATGCTCATTTCTGGGCCGCGCTGTCCTAAAGTATCGTATCGGACTAAATATTTCCTAGAAGTTTTCTTATTTCTCAGACAGGTAGGTTTATTCAGAATATTTTCTTTTTTCATGAACATTAATGCATGCATTTCATTTCCATCGAGCAGCAATGCGAGCACTGCTGTATTACGGGGTAAAGGTGGTCTTCTAAGGTTCTATCCTTGCTTGTATTATTTAAGCCTTTATCTAAGTCTATGTTTGAAGTAGATT